ACCAGCCATGACTAACCAGGTACTGATACCAGTGTGTAACCATCCATGACTCAACAGGTACTGATACCAGTGTGTAACCAGCCATGACTCACCAGGTACAGATACCAGTGTGTAACCATCCATGACTCAACAGGTACTGATACCAGTGTGTAACCAGCCATGACTCACCAAGTACTGATACCAGTGTGTAACCAGCCATGACTCACCAAGTACTGATACCAGTGTGTAACCACCCATGACTAACCAGGTACTGATACCAGTGTGTAACCAGCCATGACTCACCAAGTACTGATACCAGTGTGTAACCACCCATGACTAACCAGGTACTGACACTAGTGTGTAACCAGCCATGACTAACCAGGTACTGATACCAGTGTGTAACCACCCATGACTCAACAGGTACTGATACCAGTGTGTAACCATCCATGAATCAACAGGTACTGATACCAGTGTGTAACCAGCCATGACTAACCAGGTACTGATACCAGTGTGTAACCAGCCATGACTCACCAAGTACTGATACCAGTGTGTAATCACCCATGACTAACCAGGTACTGATACCAGTGTGTAACCAGCCATGACTAACCAGGTACTGATACCAGTGTGTAACCAGCCATGACTCAACAGGTACTGATACCAGTGTGTAACCACCCATGACTCAACAGGTACTGAAACCAGTGTGTAACCAGCCATGACCAACCAGGTACTGATACCAGTGTGTAACCAGCCATGACCAACCAGGTACTGATACCAGTGTGTAACCAGCCATGACAAACCAGGTACTGATACCAGTGTGTAACCAGCCATGCCTCGCCAGGTACTGATACCAGTGTGTAACCAGCCATGACTCGCCAGGTACTGATACCAGTGTGTAACCAGCCATGACCAACCAGGTACTGATACCAGTGTGTAACCAGCCATGACAAACCAGGTACTGATACCAGTGTGTAACCAGCCATGACTCGCCAGGTACTGATACCAGTGTGTAACCAGCCATGACTCGCCAGGTACTGATAAAATTTTCAGAAGCTGTGGCAATTTTGAGGCTGAGATGGCAATAAAAGTTTTTAATTGAAGAAGTTTGATGATTAACATGTGTGATGACTACTGATGATCTGAGCCCGGTGGTGCAGGCACTGCAGCTGCCTGAGAGCCCGGTGGTGCAGGCACTGCAGCTGCCTGAGAGCCCGGTGGGTGCAGGCACTGCAGCTGCCTGAGAGCCCGGTGGTGCAGGCACTGCAGCTGCCTGAGAGCCCGGTGGTGCAGGCACTGCAGCTGCCTGAGAGCCCGGTGGTGCAGGCACTGCAGCTGCCTGAGAGCCCGGTGGTGCAGGCACTGCAGCTGCCTGAGAGCCCGGTGGTGCAGGCACTGCAGCTGCCTGAGAGCCCGGTGGTGCAGGCACTGCAGCTGCCTGAGAGCCCAGTGGTGCAGGCACTGCAGCTGTCTGAGAGCCCGGTGGTGCAGGCACTGCAGCTGCACGGGAGCCCGGTGGTGCAGGCACTGCAGCTGCCTGAGAACCCGGTGGTGTAGGCACTGCAGCTGCCTGAGAGCCTGGTGGTGCAGGCACTGCAGCTGCCTGAGAGCCCGGTGGTGAAGGCACTGCAGCTGCCTGAGAGCCCGGTGGTGCAGGCACTGCAGCTGCCTGAGAGCCCGGTGGTGCAGGCACTGCAGCTGCCTGAGAGCCCGGTGGTGCAGGCACTGCAGCTGCCTGAGAGCCCAGTGGTGCAGGCACTGCAGCTGCCTGAGAGCCCGGTGGTGCAGGCACTGCAGCTGCACGGGAGCCCGGTGGTGCAGGCACTGCAGCTGCCTGAGAACCCGGTGGTGCAAGGCACTGCAGCTGCCTGAGAGCTCGGTGTGGTGCAGGCACTGCAGCTGCCTGAGAGCCCGGTGGTGCAGGCACTGCAGCTGCCTGAGAGCCCGGTGGTGCAGGCACTGCAGCTGCCTGAGAGCCCGGTGGTGCAGGCACTGCAGCTGCCTGAGAGCCCGGTGGTGCAGGCACTGCAGCTGCACGGGAGCCCGGTTGTGCAGGCACTGCAGATGCCTGAGAGCCCGGTGGTGCAGGCACTGCAGCTGCCTGAGAGCCTGGTGGTGCAGGCACTGCAGCTGCCTGAGAGCCCGGTGGTGCAGGCACTGCAGCTGCCTGAGAGCCCGGTGGTGCACACACTGCAGCTGCCCGAGAGCCCGGTGGTGCACACTGTATTTCCTGTACTGAAGTGAAGGGAATGAGAGACGATGTGTTTTCTCTGGCAGTGGATAGTTCTCGCTCCTTGGTTAATAATAACAAACTTCTAACACATCCTAGATGCACCGTCTTAGCTGCTAGTTTACTTACATTACCTCACCTACAAAGGACCGGTGTAACATTCTTTATATGAAGCGCTAAACCCATGTGAAAGCAACGGTCCGAATTACTGCACTTGGTGACTTAATCCACTTAACAGAAAACTAATATGATCAGAACTATGCAAGTTATGTTACGTTAATGAGTTTGATGTTTTTGTTAGACCACAAGACGGAATGTTCAGAAGCTTAGGAATATTGCAGTAGGCTTATGGGCCTATGCAACGTTGACGCTGCGTATTTGCTTTATTGACGCACGTGGCAGGTCATTAATCCACGATCATTATTAACCTAGAATATTTTTGATCTAATATTCCTCATTTCATTCATTTTTATTTTATATTTTCATCTCCTTAATAAAACTTTCATTTTCATAAATCTCTCTATACTTCAATTATCTTTGTTGTTAGAGTATCATGGTACGGAAGATTAGTGATGCTGGTCAGTTACTTCGTAAGATGGAGAACCTAGCGACTGTACGAGGCTTGTTACGCCTGTTTATCACCTGAAGTCTGTAACAGAGAATATAAATTAAACTCGTATATATCATGTTCACATATTATTCCATTCTTTCCCAGAGAAGCAAGTAGTTTGATAATAACAAGCAGTGTGTAGTGCAAGAAAGGTATAAAATACCGACAATATGAAAGTTAAGACACATGTGCAACATCTGGGTATCTTTATTGTAGACGTTTAGCCATCCAGTGGCTTTATCAATACAAATTCCAGGACATAATTAGAAGGCAGTAGAACTATATACAAAAGATGAGGTAATCAGTCCCTCAGCCTAATCAGTCCCCGCCTATCAGTGACTATGCCCTCGTCTGCTGCCCGTCCTTATCCACTGACGCCTATATAACCGCCAGTCTTCTTGCCTTTGCTCCAGATTCTCCTCCACCACGATGCTGTGAACATTAACTCCAAGGCTGAGGGACTGATTACCTCATCTTTTGTATATAGTTCTTCTGTCTTCTAATTATGTCCTAGAATCTGTATTGATAAAGCCACTGGATGGCGAAACGTCTACAATAAAGATATCCAAGTGTTCCACATGTGTCTTAACTTTCAAGAAGCATGTAGTTACTAGTGAATATTATTACCATGTTATGCTCTCATTCGAATATATTGATCATCTTGTAAAATATAATGGTATTAGCAACAGCTACAGATAACACTTGGCACGTGTCCTTATTGTACTCATCAATATTAGACGGCCATATGAGCAGCAGCTCGTATGCCCGTCTAATATTGATGACGGGTAAGCCAGGAAAATGCCTCGGTCAGATGACTAAAATCTGCAGTGGCGGGTCATTATTTGACTAAGACCCGCGTCAGGCAACACTTGGCCTGTTTTCTAACCAATATTACCTAACTTACTAGAGCTATTTATACGCAACCATCCCCTCAAGGGAGGTTCCTTTATGTTGGTGAGGGGCTCTTGATCTAGGGAATTGGACCGGTGCTCCAGTTTTCTGAATTAAGTCTGAATACCTTCCACATCCCCCCACAGGCGCTGCTTAATCCTACGGGTTTAGCGCTCCCCTTTGATTATAATATACCCACCCATTATCACTCTTATATTTACTAAAACTGAGCTTCACACTGTCAATGCTTCATTCTGTTTGTCAATGCTTCTCCGAGCCGAACATAACCTACTCTACTGTAACACTATACAATTATCTGGGCCGCCCTCCGGGGCTCCGGTGGCGGCCTTGCGTGTACTTGAATGACGGACGTATTTCTGGAGCCAACGCTGTTGATTCGAACCAATGAACTCTGACAAGAGAGACGAAAGCGAGTGTACCTGGTCATAGTCTCCAGTCATACTGCCAGGTACATTCGTTTTCGTCTCTCTTGTCGGAGTTAGTTGGTTCGAAGCTACTGCGTTGACTCGTATTTCTGGAGTTTCCTATCAGTTGAGGAAGGTGGCAACTTCAGGGGTACAGCCTCGGCCGCCCTCCTCTCTTGCTGAGTGTGCCTGGCTTGGTCGATTCTGAAGGTGCCATCCTGGTATTCCTGGTATACCAGTTTCATGCAGCATCAGCACTACTGGTTACAGCGAGGATACTCTTGCATCAGGAAAGGGATATATGGTTTCTTTTTTTTTCTCCTCTGAGCTCTCCGTCCACCTTTTTTTTAAATAGAGAAAAAAAGTCGATATAGTCTTATTCAGAACACAGAAGGCATAGACTGGGCAGACAGTGCAACATAACCCCAGTGAAAAGTAGAGGCGCCATTGCTACACTAAGAGAAAATACAATAAGTGTCCGGGGCCCAAGACTGTTCAACAAATTCCCACCGCGGCTAACTTCAAGAGGGGGCTGGACAGATACCTAAAGTCAGTATCCGATCAGCTGGGCTGTAGTCTGTACGTCGGATTGCGAGCGGCCAGCAGTAACAGCTTGGTTGATCAGGCCCTGATCCACCGGGAGGCCTGATCAAGGACTGGACCGTGGGGGTGTTAACCCCCGGAACACCCTCCAGGTAGACTCCTGGTAGAATGACTGGCCCCCCTCTCCTCCCTCCCCATCCCTTCATGTCACTTCCCCTCTCACTGTGTAAGTGGTTGCAGCGACATACATTGTCTCCCACCTCGTGAACTTGACCCAGGTGATAGAACCATCAACAAACACTGAGCTGATAGTCTGTGCATCTCTTAACAGGAAGGAGATTCCCTACCTTGGCTACGTCGTCCTCCAGTGACCCCTGCTGGCGTGGATCACCGCCACCATGGCTCTCTTCACCTTCACCATCTCCTTCTTGGCAATGCTTAGTGAGTGGAAGATTGCATGATAATTTACTCGTATCTCTTCCGAGGGTTCACAATGTTTAAATAAATTCTAATCATATTTAGCGCACTATAGTTGCAAAAAATGCAACTTTCTGCTTATCTCGCTACAATATGTGCTACTTCAACAGATCAAAAGTAACAGAACAAAGAATTCCTTGATTGTAAGTTGAGTGTGGGCTTCAGTAACTTAAATTTGCTCTGCATGTACACCCGAGTTTTTTTAGACCAAAGTAACATATTCTCTAATTATTTATAAAGTCTACTATAAACAATACTTTTAGAGAGCCAAATTTTAACTAGGACCTCATTGAATCTAATATATCCAGCTCCTCTCCGAAAGATCAGAAGCTCATACAACTCCCATTGTCCCACTTCTGCTGAAACAAGACGTGTAGGTAGACGTGCACTCATACCTCAGCTCAGGTCTACCACAGTTACTCAAACACCTAAAAATCATAGTATTTTGCTGTGAATTTTTCTGATTGTTCGTCTCTTCAATTTATAATAGAGTAATTTGTAATTATGTATTTTCATGTAGTGTTGCCAGGAACCAGAGCTCAGTCTTTGGTAGTGTTAATATACAAATATATTTTGTTAGTCATCACAGTAATTTAAAAGGGGCATTCAAACTTGTGTGTTACTAAATATTTTGTTGTGGGACAGGCGTGACAGCTGGTCTGAGCGTGGGGCCCATACAGCTGGCTAGCAACAACAGTTACATCTCATACAAGAATGGGAACTCGGGAAATAACAGCATTCTTGTGTGTCCTTATACCCTCCTAACAAACGAAAGGGTCCAGTCGGTCTCCTGGATTATGTGGGACGACAACAACATACTCGGCACCTACACATGGTCTCCAACCTCGCCAGAAACAGGTCAGTGGGTATTATTGCTTTTTAATTTGTCAACGATAACTGGAGTTGTGCTCAAGCGCACTGGTAATGTATAACTGTTGTACTATATTGTGCCATTCACCATATACCTTCTTTTTCTCTGCAGTAAATATAATTTTTTTTTTATTTGGCCACCGTCGTAACACACTAAAGGTTCTTCCTTCCTTACAGTCGGTGGTGTTCTAATGGGCGTAGTAAACATGAGCCGTAGCGACGCAAACCTCCAACTGACGCAACTGACCTATAACCTGACAGGTGACTACTCCTGTACAGTCACACTCACAACCGGCCAGAATGCCAGCTCGCAACAATGGGAAGTCTTGATAATTGGTGAGTTCGACCTTCGGTAGAAGTTGATTGAGCTTCTTTACGATGCTCAGTGAATGTGCGAGGCTGGTTGAGTGTCGTCCCTTGATTGGTGACCCGACCAGCGGAGGGCTGATGCCTAGTCTAGTCCAGTTGGCACAGCGTCAATTACTAATACTCTTCCTCAGTTGACAGTTTACCTGGAGAGAGTTCCGGGGGTCAACGCCCCCGCGGCCCGGTCTGTGGTATTTCGTTCACCATTATAGACTTTTAGGAATATATTAGGAAACAAGGTTGCAACGATCTCTAAAAAGGTTACTGTAAACTGTTAAACTCGAAAACAGAACACTTTAATGTGTTTTTTTCCTTTGGAAAGGACACTACGGTTATGTAGGAACACACACTAGCCTAAGTTTAGAAAGATGTTAACTGCTGCTACTATATATTCAAAACTGCAGTGTGAGTAGCAAGGATTTTGTAATTGTAGACCCTGCAAGGCTCTCAGTATGGATTACTGTGTTCATAGAAATTGTCTGAAATTAAGATGATAGAACCTGCCTTGAGACTATGTGAAATTATGTGGTTGAATTTTTACAAGTACAATCTTGAATTAACCTTTCATTCACATGACTGGGGAGATTATACTTACTGATATTGATGTACCTGAGAGACATGTGGGACTTAGTGACAATGTGTCACAACAATGTCCCTCCTTCAGTGTCCACTGTCTCAGCTCCACAACTCACACTTCGGGACCTTAGATTAGAAATATATAGTTCCCGAATATTATGAAAATTTAAGCCAGTAACACTAGCAATTTAGGTTGTGGACTGTATAATAATCTTAAAAACTATGTGACTTAACTCAAGGAATTTCTTGTGCATTAATAATTATACACTAGTCGTTTAGTTACATTATAAATATATCTTTTCAAATTATGGTCCTGGTGATTTATCCTAACACCTTGTTACAAAAACGCGACTCTAAAAGCTTAGAGATCTCCAGTGAACACTAGAAAGGACTGCCCTTCTAGCATCCAGACTGTTACTGGGTTTTAGTAACAAGTAGTCAGTATCCTTGTCCAATTATCCATTATTGTTCAGTATTATTCAATAGTGCTTCAGGATTACAACTGGTAGGCTACTAACTAGAGAAATTAAAATTTAATAAATTTATTAATCATTAAGTTGTCTAGAGGTATAAATTAAATTAATCACAGTAATCAAAATAATATCACTTCTCTCAAGTACAATATTATTGTGCTGAAAGCACATATCACATTTATAATTCTTAAGTACCGTCTGGTACATCAACATTTAATAAGATATTACAAATATGTACAAGTTTGTGTGTATGAGTGTAAGTGCTCCAAGTAGTTCGCTATGTCTCATGACTCGACTAGACTTAAACAAGTGACTGACAAAGTCCTCACATAAACTAACTTCTTGACCAACTGGCAATCAGAACAGTCTGCTTGAACAATAAAAAGAATGCTAAGCCCAATAGCAATATAACAAGCAACTGCGACACAGAATCAGGAACAAGGAGATAATATAACGACACTAAGTAGGGACCATCTGCAGATCCTCCACAAAAGTCACAAAACTCCCATACTACTGAATCTAAGTTCAGCATAAGAAAATCCCCGACTGTGATAATACACAGATACCAGTACAAGTTAAGAGAGTAGTTACAGCTCAGGACCTGAGATGTTTCGAGTGTCTATGTGACACACAACCTCAGTACAACGTCGAAAATCACTAAGTCTATACAATGTTCTGTGAACAGAGTTCTACAGAACTAACAAGAATATTGAGACAGACAATCTGTCCAACCTCCAAGAGAGTCTAGATCAGACTGAATACTTTAGGCGAGGTGAGGACACCCCCCCCCCTCGATCACGTGATAGCTCCGTGGACAACTGCAGCTCAGAAGCCGGCAGAGTAACGAGCAAGGAGCGATAATTACAGTAGTTAGACAATCAAGACTTGAACTGAGCACATAATATGTTACATCCTACCTAACAAAGGAAATAACAATATAAAGCAATACATTTACGATTTAGCTATTATCGCAAATATAAGCAATATAAAATTAAATGAAAAGGTAATAATTATATATATACATAATAATCATTGCAGCCCATTCAGGGGTTGCAACACACCTCCCTTATAGGGAGGCAACTAATATTGGCCAGTAACTACCTGCCTTACCTGCTGTGAGTTATAATTCACACCAGGAGCCATATATAAATTATTGTAGTACACGTGATGGTCAACATAACTGCATCCAGTATTATCTTCCTTACCAGCCTTATTATGACCATTTCACAATATATCTGAACCCTTCCAGACACTCGTTATATTCACTCATTTCATGGTCCCCAATTTTTGCCGATACTGTTTCTATCGGCCTCAATAACCCACGATTAAATTCTGCAACACTCGTTTGTTAATATCTACGTTCTGTCATTCTCGATGCCTCTCCTCAACGATTATGTTATACACATTTATATAATTATATTAAGCGACATTTCCATGTGTGCATTATATTTTCCTTATCAGAGTATTAATTTCCTCTAAATTACATTGATTACATTTTACTTAACAGATAACGATAAATAAAGAAAGTGTGGAGAATATAGATTCTCATACGACTAACCTTTTAAAAGTCACATTAAAGACACGTACCCACAATATTACATAAACATTGTTTTCCTACCAGTTGCCACACACAAATCAAAATTATCAAAATTTTCCATACTCAGAGATAAGACACTTGCATCTTTAAACTTGCTGCGATGTTAACTATAAGAAGAGAAGTGTATCTTAGTAAATAACCTTAACTAGTTGTATCTGTACTAAATCTACGCTAACCTAACATGAATGACAAATTATGGTTTTTTTATATCAGCTTGTGTCACACTATGTGGATGAACATTGACCACAAATCATGTGATCTCTGGCTGTTGGTAGTAAGTGAACACATGTTTACTTACAACATGTTGTACAGAACAGTTGTAGACAACAGTCTTGTGTGATCTATTAGAGGTCTACCTGGGTTATGGGAAGTGTTGTGAACCTTGTATTAATATGAATACTTTAATTCGTCATTCTTAGACACAATTTTGAGTGTCGTTACCTGCAGAGGTGTGAGCACAGCTCAGAGGTGTGAGCACAGCTCAGACCTCTGCAATACAATTATCCTCAAAGATTTATTAAGTTATACCATGAATTAAGAAAAGATCCTGGACTTCATCTTACGAAACAGACAAAGCAAATGCGATAGTAATTATGGACAAGGTAGATTATAGTGGAAAAATGAACATGTTGTTAGAAGACAGTGGAACTTACGTGCCTCTTAATATGAGAGAGCAGCGGGGAAGACACTGTACAGTGTTGGCCAGCTCTCTGACACACCACTTCCAGTTCTTCATCTTTCATCAGGGCAGATGGAAATGTTGACATAATACAACTTTCTTCTGATTAGGGTCTCTTCTTCAGTATTGTCAGTAATACCTTATTTACATCCCGGATACGTCAGTCTAAAAAGTGTGAAGTAGATCGGAAGAGGCATTCATATAACCCAATATCTTTTAATAAAATTGACAGCTACTCATCCCCAAACTAATCCGACTCGTTCTCTAAGTCTGCTTCCCTCAAGGAAGGTTCCTTGACGCCGGTGAGGGGCTCTTGATCTAGGGAATTAGATCTGTGCTCCAATTCCCTGAATTTAGCCTGAATAACTTCCAGCCCCCCACAGGCGCTGTATAATCCCTATGGGTTTAGTGCTCCACTATAATTGTAATAATCTAAGTACTACATCAGCAGTGAACGTTTGAAGCCGATCAGAAGAAGCATTCTCCAGTTAACACAGATAATATCCCAATTTATTTAATAAAATTACCAAACTTTAACCTACATATCGCAAAAGTAAATCAAACTTTTTTTTGAACAAAATAAACCAGTACTAAAAGTTTGAAGCCTATTAGAAGAGTCATCACGGAGAAAGCAGTTATTCCTTATTTATTTATATTAGTATATTAGTAAATTTGAACTTTTCAACCTAACTCTATATTGACTCTTCCATTAAGACAGATGTATCAGCTGATAAAGTTTGAAGCCATTCAGAAGAACTATTTAAGTTATCTTAAACAATTTTAGAAATAAAACTGAAAAACTGCAACTTACACACCCTATTAACAATCAAACTAACTTAAGTAAGATACCCAAGTGTTAGTTTTAAGTTGATGATGCAATAAAAACCGTCGCTTTCCTTGCGTTTATAAAACTGATAAATTAGCACCTAGTACACTGCCTAATAACAATCCGAACTTTCTTCTAAGATCTGCCAATCTAAAGAAACATTCTTAAAATTTCACATGAAAATCTAGCTGGAAGGAAAAAAAAATCCGGCAGTTACAATAGACATCATCATCCAGGTAACACTTAAAAATCAAAATATCTGTATATATGATGTAAAATGGAGTTTAAAAATTATAATGTAGACTTTTTAATTGCTTGCACAATGAAAAATTTAAGTGAAATGATAAGCCAGTAATATTCTTTTTTTTCCACAGATAAGACAGATGATTCTATAAGTACCATAGAATCTTACAACCAGTCGCAGTGTTCATTCAACACCTCTGTCAACTTTTTTGCTGTGTTTCCGGAGCCTACCGTCCAAGCTGGATTGTATTCTGAGGGAATTGAAGGTTATGTCAGCAAGGTCTCCAAAACCCAGTGGGTTAGAACTGTCTACCAGAACAAGTCTGTTAGTTATTCCTACAGTGGCGTAGTCTTCAAGGTACTGACACTGGCCACTTGTTCTAATTTTACAGGTTATACTGTATTATTTTACAAAAAATGTCTCTCGCTTAGACAGATTAATTATTATACATTTTAGATGCTCTGAATTTTTAGATGTGGCGAAAACTTTAAGAAAATTATGCAAGAAACAAACTTATAATATTACGTTACTTATGTAAGTTATCATCCCTTGTCCTCCCTTCCAGGGAGCAGTAGGTTATTCCCTCCCTCCCTTCCAGGGAGCAGTAGGTTATTCCCTCCCTCCCTTCCAGGGAGCAGTAGGTTATTCCCTCCCTCCCTTCCAGGGAGCAGTAGGTTATTCCCTCCCTCCCTTCCAGGGAGCAGAAGGTTATTCCCTCCTTCCCTTCCAGGGAGCAGTAGGTTATTCCCTCCCTCCCTTCCAGGGAGCAGTAGGTTATTCCCTCCTTCCCTTCCAGGGAGCAGTAGGTTATTCCCTCCCTCTCTTCCAGGGAGCAGTAGGTTATTCCCTCCCTCCCTTCCAGGGAGCAGTAGGTTATTCCCTCCCTCCCTTCCAAGGAGCAGTAAACTATCATTCCCCTCCTTCCAGGGAGCAGTAGATTATCATTCCCTCCCTTCCAGGGAGCAGTAGGTTATTCCCTCCCTCTCTTCCAGGGAGCAGTAGGTTATTCCCTCCCTCCCTTCCAGGGAGCAGTAGGTTATTCCCTCCCTCTCTTCCAGGGAGCAGTAGGTTATTCCCTCCCTCCCTTCCAAGGAGCAATAGGTTATTCCCTCCCTCTCTTCCAAGGAGCAGTAGGTTATTCCCTCCCTCTCTTCCAGGGAGCAGTAGGTTATTCCCTCCCTCCCTTCCAGGGAGCAGTAGGTTATTCCCTCCCTCCCTTCCAAGGAGCAGTAAACTATCATTCCCTTCCTTCCAGGGAGCAGTAGGTTATCATTCCCTCCTTCCAGAGAGCAACAAATTATCATTCCCTCCTTCCAGGGAGCAGTAAGTCATAATCCTCTCCCTTCGAGGGAGCAAAAAGTCTTCCCCCTCCTTCCAGGGAGCAGTAAGTTTCCCTCTCCTTGAAGGGAGCAGTAACTTCCCCTCTCCTTGAAGGGAGCAGTAAGCTTCCCTCTCCTTGAAGGGAGCAGTAAGTTCCCCTCTCCTTGAAGGGAGCAGTAAGCTTCTCTCTCCTTGAAGGGAGCAGTAAGCTGCCCTCTCCATGAAGAAAGCAGTAAGTTCCCCTCTCCTTGAAGGGAGCAGTAAGTTCCCCTCTCCTCGAAGGGAGCAGTAAGCTTCCCTCTCCATGAAGAGAGCAGTAAGTTCCTCTCTCCTTGAAGGGAGCAGTAAGTTCCCCTCTCCATGAAGAGAGGAGTAAGTTCCCCTCTCCTTGAAGGGAGCAGTAAGCTTCCCTCTCCATGAAGTGAGCAGTAACTTCCCCTCTCCTTGAAGGAAGCAGTAAGTTCCCCTCTCCTTGAAGGTAGCAGTAAGTTCCCCTCTCCTTCAAGAGAGCAGTAAGTTCCCCTCTCCTTGAAGGGAGCAGTAAGCTTCCCTCTCCATGAAGAGACCAGTAAGTTCCTCTCTCCTTGAAGGGAGCAGTAAGTTCCCCTCTCCTTGAAGGTAGCAGTAAGTTCCCCTCTCCTTCAAGAGAGCAGTAAGTTCCCCTCTCCTTGAAGGGAGCAGTAAGTTCCCCTCTCCTTGAAGGGAGCAGTAAGTTCCCCTCTCCTTGAAGGGAGCAGTAAGTTCCCCTCTCCTTGAAGGGAGCAGTAAGTTCCCCTCTCCTTGAAGGAAGCAGTAAGTTCCCCTCTCCTTGAAGGGAGCAGTAAGTTCCCCTCTCCTTGAAGGGAGCAGTAAGTTCCCCTCTCCTCGAAGGGAGCAGTAAGTTCCCCTCTCCTTGAAGGGAGCAGTAAGTTCCCCTCTCCTTGAAGGAAGCAGTAAGTTCCCCTTTCCTTGAAGGGAGCAGTAAGTTCCCCTCTCCTTGAATTGAGCAGTAAGTTCCCCTCTCCTTGAAGGGAGCAGTAAGTTCCCCTCTCCTTGAAGGGAGCAGTAAGTTCCCCTCTCCTTGAAGGGAGCAGTAAGTTCCCCTCTCCTTGAAGGGAGCAGTAAGTTCCCCTCTCCTCGAAGAGAGCAGTAAGTTCCCCTCTCCTTGAAGGGAGCAGTAAGTTCCCCTCTCCTTGAAGGGAGCAGTAAGTTCCCCTCTCCTTGAAGGGAGCAGTAAGTTCCCCTCTCCTTGAAGGGAGCAGTAAGTTCCCCTCTCCTTGAAGGGATCAGTAAGTTCCCCTCTCCTCGAAGGGAGCAGTAAGTTCCCCTCTCCTTGAAGGGAGCAGTAAGTTCCTCTCTCCTTGAAGGGAGCAGTAAGCTTCCCTCTCCTTGAAGGGAGCAGTAAGTTCCCCTCTCCTTGAAGGGAGCAGTAAGCTTCCCTCTCCTTGAAGGGAGCAGTAAGTTCCCCTCTCCTTGAAGGGAGCAGTAAGTTCCCCTCTCCTTGAAGGGAGCAGTAAGTTCCCCTCTCCTTGAAGGGAGCTGTAAGTTTCCCTCTCCTTGAAGGGAGCAGTAAGCTTCCCTCTCCTTGAAGGGAGCAGTAAGTTCCCCTCTCCTTGAAGGGAGCAGTAAGTTCCCCTCTCCTTGAAGGGAGCTGTAAGTTTCCCTCTCCTTGAAGGGAGCAGTAAGCTTCCCTCTCCTTGAAGGGAGCAGTAAGTTCCCCTCTCCTTGAAGGGAGCTGTAAGTTCCCCTCTCCTTGAAGGGAGCAGTAAGCTCCCCTCTCCTTGAAGGGAGTTGTAAGTTCCCCTCTCCTTAAAGGGAGCTGTAAGTTTCCCTCTCCTTGAAGGGGGCAGTAAGCTTCCCTCTCCTTGAAGGGAGCAGTAAGTTCCCCTCTCCTTGAAGGGAGCAGTAAGCTTCCTCTCCATGAAGGGAGCAGTAAGCTTCCCTCTCCTTGAAGGGAGCAGCAAGTTCCCCTCTCCTTGAAGGGAGCAGTAAATTCCCCTCTCCTTGAAGGGAGCAGTAAGTTCCCCTCTCCTTGAAGGGAGCAGTAAATTCCCTCTCCTTGAAGGGAGCAGTAAGTTCCCCTCTCCTTGAAGGGAGCAGTAAGTTACCCTCTCCATGAAGGGAGCAGTAAGTTCCCCTCTCCTTGAAGGGAGCAGTAAGTTCCCCTCTCCTTGAAGGGAGCAGTAAGTTCCCCTCTCCTTGAAGGGAGCAGTAAGTTCCCCTCTCCTTGAAGGGAGCAATAAGTTCCCCTCTCCTTGAAGGGAGCAGTAAGTTCCCCTCTCCTTGAAGGGAGCAATAAGTTCCCCTCTCCTTGAAGGGAGCAGTAAGTTCCCCTCTCCTTGAAGGGAGCTGTAAGTTTCCCTCTCCTTGAAGGGAGCAGTAAGCTTCCCTCTCCTTGAAGGGAGCAGTAAGTTCCCCTCTCCTTGAAGGGAGCTGTAAGTTCCCCTCTCCTTGAAGGGAGCAGTAAGCTCCCCTCTCCTTGAAGGGAGTTGTAAGTTCCCCTCTCCTTAAAGGGAGCTGTAAGTTTCCCTCTCCTTGAAGGGGGCAGTAAGCTTCCCTCTCCTTGAAGGGAGCAGTAAGTTCCCCTCTCCTTGAAGGGAGCAGTAAGCTTCCTCTCCATGAAGGGAGCAGTAAGCTTCCCTCTCCTTGAAGGGAGCAGCAAGTTCCCCTCTCCTTGAAGGGAGCAGTAAATTCCCCTCTCCTTGAAGGGAGCAGTAAGTTCCCCTCTCCTTGAAGGGAGCAGTAAATTCCCCTCTCCTTGAAGGGAGCAGTAAGTTCCCCTCTCCTTGAAGGGAGCAGTAAGTTACCCTCTCCATGAAGGGAGCAGTAAGTTCCCCTCTCCTTGAAGGGAGCAGTAAGTTCCCCTCTCCTTGAAGGGAGCAGTAAGTTCCCCTCTCCTTGAAGGGAGCAGTAAGTTCCCCTCTCCTTGAAGGGAGCAATAAGTTCCCCTCTCCTTGAAGGGAGCAGTAAGTTCCCCTCTCCTTGAAGGGAGCAATAAGTTCCCCTCTCCTTGAAGGGAGCAGTAAGTTCCCCTCTCCTTGAAAAGAGCAGTAAGCTTCCCTCTCCTTGTGGGGAGCAGTAAGTTCCCTTTTCCTTGTGGGGAGCAGTAAGTTCCCTCTCCTTGTGGGGAGCAGTAAGTTCCCCTCTCCTTGAAGGAAGCAGTAAGTTCCCCTCTCCTTGAAGGGAGCAGTAAGTTCCCCTCTCCTTGAAGGGAGCAGTAAGTTCCCCTCTCCTTGAAGGGAGCAGTAAGTTCCCCTCTCCTTGAAGGGAGCAGTAAGTTCCCCTCTCCTTGAAGGGAGCAGTAAGTTCCCCTCTCCTCGAAGGGAGCAGTAAGTTCCCCTCTCCTTGAAGGGAGCAGTAAGTTCCTCTCTCCTTGAAGGGAGCAGTAAGCTTCCCTCTCCTTGAAGGGAGCAGTAAGTTCCCCTCTCCTTGAAGGGAGCAGTAAGCTTCCCTCTCCTTGAAGGGAGCAGTAAGTTCCCCTCTCCTTGAAGGGAGCAGTAAGTTCCCCTCTCCTTGAAGGGAGCAGTAAGTTCCCCTCTCCTTGAAGGGAGCTGTAAGTTTCCCTCTCCTTGAAGGGAGCAGTAAGCTTCCCTCTCCTTGAAGGGAGCAGTAAGTTCCCCTCTCCTTGAAGGGAGCAGTAAGTTCCCCTCTCCTTGAAGGGAGCTGTAAGTTTCCCTCTCCTTGAAGGGAGCAGTAAGCTTCCCTCTCCTTGAAGGGAGCAGTAAGTTCCCCTCTCCTTGAAGGGAGCTGTAAGTTCCCCTCTCCTTGAAGGGAGCAGTAAGCTCCCCTCTCCTTGAAGGGAGTTGTAAGTTCCCCTCTCCTTAAAGGGAGCTGTAAGTTTCCCTCTCCTTGAAGGGGGCAGTTAAGCTTCCCTCTCCTTGAAGGGAGCAGTAAGTTCCCCTCTCCTTGAAGGGAGCAGTAAGCTTCCTCTCCATGAAGGGAGCAGTAAGCTTCCCTCTCCTTGAAGGGAGCAGTAAGTTCCCCTCTCCTTGAAGGGAGCAGTAAATTCCCCTCTCCTTGAAGGGAGCAGTAAGTTCCCCTCTCCTTGAAGGAGCAGTAAATTCCCCTCTCCTTGAAGGGAGCAGTAAGTTCCCCCCTCCTTGAAGGGAGCAGTAAGTTACCCTCTCCATGAAGGGAGCAGTAAGTTCCCCTCTCCTTGAAGGGAGCAGTAAGTTCCCCTCCTCCTTGAAGGGAGCAGTAAGTTCCCCTCTCCTTGAAGGGAGCAGTAAGTTCCCCTCTCCTTGAAGGGAGCAATAAGTTCCCCTCTCCTTGAAGGGAGCAGTAAGTTCCCTCTCCTTGAAGGGAGCAATAAGTTCCCCTCTCCTTGAAGGGAGCAGTAAGTTCCCCTCTCCTTGAAAAGAGCAGTAAGCTTCCCTCTCCTTGTGGGGAGCAGTAAGTTCCCTTTTCCTTGTGGGGAGCAGTAAGTTCCCTCTCCTTGTGGGGAGCAGTAAGTTCCCCTCTCCTTGAAGGAAGCAGTAAGTTCCCCTCTCCTTGAAGGGAGCAGTAAGTTCCCCTCTCCTTGAAGGGAGCAGTAAGTTCCCCTCTCCTTGAAGGGAGCAGTAAGTTCCCCTCTCCTTGAAGGAAGCAGTAAGTTCCCCTCTCGTTTAAGGGAGCAGTAAGCTTCCCTCTCCTTGAAGGGAGCAGCAAGTTCCCCTCTCCTTGAAGGGAGCAGTAAGTTCCCCTCTCCTTGAAGGGAGCAGTAAGTTCCCCTCTCCTTGAAGGGAGCAGCAAGTTCCCCTCTCCTTGAAGGGAGCAGTAAGTTCCCCTCTCCTTGAAAAGAGCAGTAAGCTTCCCTCTCCTTGTGGGGAGCAGTAAGTTCCCTTCTCCTTGTGGGGAGCAGTAAGTTCCCTCTCCTTGTGGGGAGCAGTAAGTTCCCTTCTCCTTGTGGGGAGCAGTAAGTTCCCTCTCCTTGTGGGGAGCAGTAAGTTCCCTTCTCCTTGAAGGGAACAGTAAGAACTTTCTTTGCCTTGAGCTGAGAACTTTTATTGTTTACTGTGTGAACTAGAGTTGGAAGCAATACTAGCTAATATGAAGAGGTAAAAATACCACCAGCCTTTCCTCGTTCAGCGGGGATATTACCGTGGACGAGAAGACAGGCATCACTGTCCAGCCGTGTTGTCATGTGCCAGCCGCTGGTAGTGCTGTGCTGGATGTCACTCTCGATCACGGGTCTCCAAACTGCGTCCCGCCACGAGATTTTATGCTGCCCGCAGCAGTATGAAATTGTTATAAATAGAAAACTAATAAACCCTCATTTTCAGTAAACTTAAAGTTAAAGATTTTGTTGCTTATAACAGTTTGTCAAAATCTGTTGAAATTTTAGTTCTAATCTTTTCATTTTTTAGATATGCCCTTCAGTTACGGAAGGAAAAGGGAAAAGAACATTGGAGAGTAAGTGCCGCCTGTGAAGAATGGGACATGTGATAGTGTTGTGTGTCGTATACCACGAAAGTGTTGCAGTTTTGAAGCAGTACAATGTATTTCGACCCTACCAAACATAAACCAAATTATTCCCAATTCACAGGAACACAGCGTTCGCAAAAAAAAAAAACTGAATAAATGCAACGCAAGTTGCTTTCCCAACAAGTTTTTTTTTTTAACGCAGAAGAGAATTGAAAATGAAGTTTTAACCGGGACCATTTACAAAGTAGCTTATGTTAGTTAAGTGGAAAGTCGTACACAGATGTGGATCTGATCAGAGAGTGTGTGATGGAAGCAGTGGGAGAGATATGACAGAAAAAAAAGGAAATATGTTCAGAATCCTCAGTCTTGAGCCAGATACTGTTGTGGTTGGAATTTGTTTCATACTCTGATCCAGTTTTTATTTCCTCGAGTTTTCCATAGTGGAGTAATTGAAATTTGTCTTCATTGACCTTCATTATGCAGAGCATTTCGGACAAATTAAGTCAGTTTTGTCCCAGGATGCGACCCACATCATTCGACTAACACCTAGGTATATGTTTTATTGTTAGGTGAACACGGTCAACAGATGTTTTAAGGAAACTCGTCCTAATGTGTCCACCCGTACCGGGAATCGAACCACGGACCTGAGATGAGTGCACTAGCAATGTACCTACAGGACACAGAGTCCTTCAGTACTGGGAAGCCGAGAAATGTAGTTCACTGAACGCTGTTGAATTTACAGGTTAACAGTTATATAACCTCGATTGATTTCGGAGTCTACTATCACATCCTTGGGTGTCACACGAAACAGTCTGCTGACACTCCAAACTTTTGCAGTTGGACATCCAGGTTACACCTGAGTCGTCCTCTCTGTGTACTTCTGTATCCTTGAAATTTCATGAAAAATTTTATTCGTGGTTAGGTTATAGTTAATTTATATTAGCTTATATTTCCGTATTATGGCCCGGCGATAATTAATAAAACACTAGTGGCTTTGTCTGTTGGTAACTTTTGGTATAATTCGAAATTCCGATAATGTTTTATGACAGGAATTTTAACAAATTTGGAGGACGCGCGCTGTATGACCCCAGTGGGTTTAACACTTCCCAAGGGCTTGTTTAAAAAAAGTTTTATTGTTTAGAGAATGAGTCCGTAGGCACCTATAATGTTTATTACACTTGTGGTTTGTTAGTGTTTTATATGCCGTTCTTCCACAGATTGACCAGAACGTTCCATATGATGCAGTATTTCTCGTCTCTGTCGGTGTTACTAAGTCAGACGGTACCTACATTTCTCTCGCCTCCGTCGAGAGCATCAACCCCAGCTGTGAGTTACCAACCTCTCCTCTCTTCTCTCCTCTCCTCTCCTCTCCTCTCCTCTCTCCTCTCCTCTCTCCTCTCCTCTCTCTTCTCCTCTCTCCTCTCTACTCTTTCCTCTCTCCTCTCTCCTCTCTCCTCTCCTCTCTCCTCTCTCCTCTCTTCTCCTCCTCTCCTCTCCTCTCCTCTCTCCTCTCCTCTCTCCTCTCTTCTCTCCCTTCCTCTTCTCTCCTCTCTACTCGACATTAAGTAAGTCATCCTACTCCTGTATTCATTAATTAATTCTACGTAGCTTTCATTGTACTGGAGAAAAAACTGTTACAGTCTTTCATGAAGAACAGTTATTGGAGAAAGAAAATAAAAGTATGCTTAAATATTTGCAATTATTAGTTACAGTGATTGTTGCTGATTCCCAGGGGCGGTGCCCCGGGGAGAAGAGGAGTTTCAGCTCCCCATGAAAAGCCCTGTCCCCAATGCCTCTCAGTGAAAATAATTAAATCATTTTCAGAGCAACCCCAGAGACCTCCCCTTCTCCCAGTTCCCCGAGTATAAAAATTCTGGCGTCGACCCTAATCATTCTATATGAAAAAGACACGTGAGGTGGAGTAATGATACGCCGTGTTTTGGTGTTACAGTGTTACAGTGACTGGCCTGAGTAATTCCAATTATTACTCAACCCCATGTAAGGTAACACCTGCTACTCGCATTATCCACCTCATTCATCTTTTTGTACGTTTAGGAGAGGTTCCCTGGATTAATGTCTTATAAATAATAAGGTTAAATAAGGCTACTTGTCTTCCCCAGGGGACAACATCCCGGGTTGCACTCCCCTGTATGACGTACCAAACCAGGAGGAAGTTTATGAGACTGGCAAGTTAGCCTGTCGCAACGAGTACATCCCAGACCCTGACATTCCAAAGGTATGTTATCCTCAGCCTACCCAGGAATGTTATCCTCAGCCTACCCAGGTATGTTATCCTCAGCCTACCCAGGTATTGTAGATGAATGTTTCAAAGAACCGACATGTTGTTAAATTAGACACATGTGCAACTCTTGGGTATCTTTATTGAGGAAACGTTTCGCCACACAGTGGCTTTATCAATCCATACAAAGGAGAAACTTGAAGAACAGGAGGAGAATGAGGTAATCAGTCCCTCAACCTTGAGTCGATGTGGTCAGTCCATCAATCTTGAATAGAATACGGCATATGAGCGGAGAAGCAGCTTATAAACCGTATGGCAGAAGAGGTGCAACAGTCGTAGGTGGTGTCACATTTATCCAATGTGGAAGTAGGTCGTGCCCAAGGGTTAGGCAAGCGAAGAATTCCCAAGTATTAAGATCCCAAGAAGTTGCAGTGTCTGACAGGATTGTAGATGAATGGTTCAGAGAACTGACATGTTGTTGAATTAGATAACAGGTATGTTATCCTCAGCCTACCCAGGTATGTCATCATTAACGTTTGAAAGTGATTTTTCATGGGTTTTGAATATTGTTGACGACTTGTTGCCAACTGGTCTCTTGTTCTATTTCTGAAATGTAAAAAAAAAAAAAAAATACCTGCAAAAAAAATAAAATCACATTTTGAAAACTCTCACGTATTGTAAATATTATTGACTACAATAAAATATTTCGATATGTAAATTTGTCATAATCTTGGGAAAAAAAAGACTTAAAATCGTGAGGTATAATGTGTTAATTAAGACTTGAGATATTTTTGTTTGAAGGCTGGATTTGAGAAGAACCTACCCAGTATGGGCCAATAGGTCAGTTGTAGTGTACCTGCTTCATGTTCTCACCTATAATGATCCAAGTCAAGCTGATCAAGGGTATATATACCTCACAAACAGACGATAAGTTTTTCTTGTGGTCCGGGTTCATCTCAGCTTCCTCACCATGCAAAACTTGCTGCTCATTATTATACAAATTCTTATATACAACAAGTATATTAAGATATTTTGAACTACATCTGTATTTTCAAATTTTTTTTTTATATATAAATCTTAGCCTGTGTCACGTGGTCAGTTTTGATGTCAGAATTTAGTCTTGTCCTGGCAAAAATTTCCGTATATTTTGCTGTTTTAATTGTAGAGAAGGAATTAATGTTAATAAAACATAATATAGGATTTATGGTTTTTTATTGAGAAGACGTTTCGCTCACCAGGGACTTTAATGATAGTCTCTGGGGGATGAAATGTCTCAACAAAATGGCGTAAAGTAACTAAATTATACATCCTTTATTAAGACTGTAAATTTTGTAATAATTTAGACCATAATTACTGAGCAAGACTGTTAGTGTTAGTCTGCTGCACTCCAGTCACGTGTCTGCTGCCGTCCACTGACAGCACTCCAGTCACGTGTCTGCTGCCGTCCACTGACAGCACTCCAGTCACGTGTCTGCTGCCGTCCACTGACAGCACTCCAGTCACGTGTCTGCTGCCGTCCACTGACAGCACTCCAGTCACGTGTCTGCTGCCGTCCACTGACAGCACTCCAGTCACGTCTCTGCTGCCGTCCACTGACAGCACTCCAGTCACGTGTCTGCTGCCGTCCACTGACAGCACTCCAGTCACGTGTCTGCTGCCGTCCACTGACAGCACTCCAGTCACTTGTCTGCTGCCGTCCACTGACAGCACTCCAGTCACGTGTCTGCTGCCGTCCACTGACAGCACTCCAGTCACGTGTCTGCTGCCGTCCACTGACAGCACTCCAGTCACATTGTCTGATGTCAGTCACGCTGACAGCACTCCAGTCACGTGTCTGCTGCCGTCCACTGACAGCACTCCAGTCACATTGTCTGATGTCAGTCACGCTGACAGCACTCCAGTCACGTGTCTGCTGCCGTCCACTGACAGCACTCCAGTCACATTGTCTGATGTCAGTCACGCTGACAGCACTCCAGTCACGTGTCTGCTGCCGTCCACTGACAGCACTCCAGTCACATTGTCTGATGTCAGTCACGCTGACAGCTCTCCAGTCACGTGTCTGCTGCCGTCCATTGACAGCACTCCAGTCACATTGTCTGATGTCAGTCACGCTGACAGCACTCCAGTCACGTGTCTGCTGCCGTCCACTGACAGCACTCCAGTCACATTGTCTGATGTCAGTCACGCTGACAGCACTCCAGTCACATGTCTGCTGCCGTCCACTGACAGCACTCCAGTCACATGTCTGCTGCCGTCCACTGACAGCACTCCAGTCACATGTCTGCTGCCGTCCACTGACAGCACTCCAGTCACATGTCTGCTGCCGTCCACTGACAGCACTCCAGTCACATGTCTGCTGCCGTCCACTGACAGCACTCCAGTCACATTGTCTGATGTCAGTCACGCTGACAGCACTCCAGTCACATTGTCTGATGTCAGTCACGCTGACAGCACTCCAGTCACATTGTCTGATGTCAGTCACGCTGACAGCACTCCAGTCAGTCACACTCAACTATCAGAGACACTGAGTAATAATGGCACAGAAATATTTATTACAAGGAGGGTTGTTATTTGGCTCACACACTGTTTTGTGAGTCTTGTAAGACTAATAACTAAATAATACTAATAATTGTATTACGCAGGTGCGTGTGTTTTGTTCTTCTGGTTACCGTTCCTTGATGAACGTGAGTTCTGTCTTGCTCGACTGTAACAACAACACTATAGCTTGGTACAACGATAACAACCCTAATATTACCACCGTGGATCTCAAATGTGGTTAGTACACTCTCAGCTCCCAGCTCTTAGCCCTCAGCTCCCAGCTTTCGGCCCTCAGCTCCCAGCTTTCACCCCTCAGCTCCCAGCCCCCAGCTCTCAGCCCCCAGCTCCCAGCCCCCAGCTCCCAGTCCCCAGCTCCCAGCCCCCAGCCCCCAGCTCCAAGCTCTCAGCCCTCAGCTCAGCCCTCAGCTACCAGCTCTCAGCCCTCAGCTTTCGACTTATATTTTATGTTAAGATCATGGGGGAGCACTAAACCCGCACAGGTCATGGAGGAACGGGAGGCAATCAGGGATCGATCTAAGGATGAGAAGGATAGATTCAGTTCCTTGGATCAAGAGCCCTTCACCGGCATCAAGGCACCTCCCATGAACTCTCTTTTGATCTATTTGACGAGGCTATCTTGATGCTAGTGAAGTGCTCTTGATTCAGGGAATTAAAGGTCCTGTCCTTGGATCAAACCTGATTATCTCCGATTCCTCAGGCGCCTGTTATGAGCCCTAGGGGTTTAGCACTTCTCCATATATATAATTAAAGGAATTCCCTGGTTATACAGTACTTCTGGAGAGAATTTCATAAAAAAATGGATTATATAATAACGAGTCGACTCATATATATATATATATATATATATATATATATATATTATATATATATATATATATATATATATATATATATATATATATATATATATATATATATATATATATATATATATATATATATATATCATTAACAAATTCATCGCTAACTAATAATTTTTGTCACTGTTTACAGTTCGTGGAGGCGGTACAGATGTCAGCTGTTCTGCTGCTGTGATCATAGGAACAACTGTTCTGTGCCTCGTGCAGCTGCTGCAGAATTATGCATAGTGCGAAATAATTCTACTTTGCCTTAGTGGCCCAGACTTGGCAGGTCCTTCTCAAATCTAGCCCCTTTCATTCGTATACTTAACCTATTTTTAAAGCTCCCAAGGGTTTTTAGCTGCTATGAACCTATTAGGTAACTAGGACTGTATACCTTATATATGTACTTGTAGAAAAAATTATTATTATTATTATTATTATTATTATTATTATTATTATTATTATTATTATTATTATTATTATTATTAAGACTGCTATGGCTGGTGTAGGCTCCGACTGCCACCTAGTAGCAGTCCCACTCCAGAATGCTATCAACCGTGTTTTCCACTCGGCCACTACTCGTGGGTTTAAATTTTCTGGTGCTAAAATGCTCCAAATTCCTTTCACTAGACGTTCTGTTGTCTCTGATACTCCACTGCGCCTTTATGGCTCCAGTATCCCTGAACGTCATACGGTCAAATTTCTCGGCCTTCTGTTTGATTGCCGACTGTCCAGAGGATGGGTATAGGGTGCATAATGAAGATATTAAACTAAAACTCCTGGAAACCTCACATTGCCTCCCTGAAATAAACTTACCATAGTCGGCTGAACCTCCTTAATACCCTCGCTCATCTTTCGTGGGGGGCAGATCGTTGAACTCTCCTTCGACTCCAGTCAACCCTAATTTTATCGACACTGGACTACAGCGACCAGATATATTCTGCAACTCTTTCTAAACTTGATCCCATCCATCATTACGGATTACATTTATGTCTTGGTGCTTTTCGCTTCTACCCTGTCAAGAACCTACATGCAGAGGCGAGTGTTCCATCCTTGAACGATCGACGTGATGCCCTTTGCCTCCGTTATTTTGTCCGCCCTCATGACCTTCGTGATCCTTCTATATATAGAATAGTAAGGGACATTAGTAGAGGTCCATTATTTGTTCACCGCTCGTTTACTCCGTCCGTCTTCTCTTCGTCTTCACTCGCTCTTAATTTCTCTTCAGTTGCCTCCTTCATATGTTCATCTAGCATTTAACTTTTCTCCTTCCCCCTTGGGAGGTTCCTATAGTTCGAGTCTGTTCTTCACTGCCGTGTGCGAGAGCTCAAATACCTACAGTGGCTTCTCTCCCCTCTTTTTCTTAACCATTTCCGGTCTCAATCTTATGCCGTTGCAGTTTACACTGATGGTTTTAAATCCTCTGACGGTGTTGGGTTTGCTGCAGTGTTCCCGAACAGTGTTGTGCGAGGTCATTTATTAGACACGGCTAGCATTTTCACAGCTGAACTGTATGCAATTCTCATAGCGGTTATTCATATTAGGTCCAGGCCTACCTCAGCATTTGTGGTAGTCGCAGACTCCTTTAATGCTCTGCAAGCTATCAAAAATATTCGCCTCATCCCCTAGTCCTTCGTATGCAACTTCGGTTGCGCCGCATTTCTACTGAAAACAAATATCGTTTTCTGTTGAGTCGGTAGTCTTGTTGATGGTCATGGTAACCAGCAGGCAGACTCTGCTACGTGGTCAGCGGTACATGACCTTCCTGCTTCATAAAGAGGTATAACATTCTCAGACTGTTTTGCTGTAATATCTAGCCAGTTTCGCAACCGTTGGCAACAACGTTGATCAGAGTTGATTCAGTATTACTGCACAGGACATACAATAAACTGAATTTCCAGTGAATGCAGAGCATCTTGGGAAAAACTTAGCATATACTATGCTTAAAATTTACTCAGTTAATTCATAATAAAAATGACAATAAGAAGATATAATTGTCAAGTTAAGCAGAGCGCTACTAGTTACTTAAATTACTATAAAAATATGAGAGTGCATATGATGCTAATAATATATGAGTTGAAGGAAGGCTTTAAGAAGAACAGGGACAAAACTGGATGAAAACATCAGTGTTCAGGTTTTGTTTAACACGAGATCACACCAAGGTAATGAAGGGCTTTTAAACAATAGCTCTGAAGCGGTTGGTAGATAGGAAACCATTAGTATCTTCAGGCAGGGAGTTCAGGATATTAAGGTTTTTTATGCGCAGTTAGTTTTTAGACAGGTCGAGTCGGACACGGGGGATATCAGAGAGATTTTTGCGTCTTGTGTTATTCCTGTAAGTTCTGTTTCAGAGCAGGATTACCTGTATATCACAACTGATTGTCCTGTGCGCAATAGTACGGATGAATATTATATATATTGAGTAAGTTTAAACTTCAG